CAAAGATTCATGGAAACAATTAGTCCTAGCAACTGGTATATCATGCAATCCACAGCCTATACCACTGTGGTAGTTATGTTTGTGTGTCAACATGAATGGGCCTGGTTGAGCGGCTGGGCAGCTAGATGTAGTATTCCCCATGATAGAACTGGTAATCAACTCCTTGGTGGGATCTACTGTGAGCAGCTGAGTAGCTGTTTTAGGGAATGTGGTCTGCTTCCTGTATATAAGCAGAAGACTGGGGGAATGGTCTCTAGCTTATGGCATGCTTGGACCCTGCATGTAGCCATGTTGTTGCTCAGCAGCCTGCTATCCTCTGCCGACCTTGGGACTTACAACGGACTTAATGGCCTGCTGTGTGGTTTGGTAACATCAGGACTGTGCTTTTTTACTTGTCAACCTTGTGGCTTCTCAACCTCAGCAGCCAGCAGCTGTCTGAGTGAAGAAACACCTCCAGCTCCAGTGGGCCAGGAACAGGAGGCAGAGCTGGACCCCCAAGGCTGAGGCGCTTTCACCCAGTCCCTAGAGCCTGGCACTTTGAACTTGGACTTAAATCTCCAAATTGTAAAAATAAACTCCTGTTTGTTAAGACCATTCCATTTGTGGTATATTTCTGTCAGAGCGGCACTACGTAATCAGAACAATAACTATGAGGCCATGTGGTGTAGTAAATTACTTAGTGTGGCTTTTCTACCCATAAGTCTTTGTAAATAAACCCCAAGGTGGGATTTTCTATGAGCAACTGAGGAGCTCCTGATTGCTGAAGTTGTCCACCTGGAGTATTTCTGTTAGGCGTGGCACAAAACAATGTTCTGGGAGGTGCCCACTCTCTCTCTCGTGCTTAGAGTTCTGATGCTGTGATTGGCTAGTTTGACCACCCTTCCGGGCTCAAAAGGAGGCCTCCTGGAGGCAGAACTCTCTCTGACTGCTGGTTGAGGAAAACATGCTGCCGAAAGAGACACGCGCCCCTGAAAGAGACACACATTGCTGAGTGAGACACCGAGGGACCAGTGCTGCT